GAGAGCATCTTGACCTGGTGTGCCTCCTGACAGCGTGAAGAAACTCACAGGAGTGGAGCGGTGTTTGGATAATGAAAGGCCTTGGAAATGGCCTTTTTATTTTAGATCAGAGCAGACAGACAGAGCAGAGCACAAAAGTACATTGTGCTGTCTTGCTTCCCCGCTGTATTATTAAACTTACAGTGAAATGTGTAAGGATGGATGCTGTTCTTTGGGGGCAGATTCTATATGAAAAAATACTTACCTTTTTGGCGGGCGAGCTTGGCTTAAATGGCGGTGTCCCTTTCTTCTTCTCTTCTGGTTTCTTTACAGGCGGCAGGGGTTTATCGAACTTGTAGGGATTGGTATCGAAAACCTCCTTTGGGTAAAGGTTTAAACGAAAGGCTCCTCCCTTGAGCATGGACCTGTGCGCTGCCACCTCTTTCTGCAAAACAACATTGATTCTTTTTTCTCAGGGAGAAGAATGGTAATTTACAGATGTGAAGCATCGCGCATTCAGTCCCCACGTGGTCTCCGTTGTGTTCCTTTAAACCCAGCACCAGCAGACGCCTGTCCTTCTTCAGAGTTACGATCCGTCCACCCGTTCCCTAACCACATTATCCAATTCCGGGTCATGGGAGAGCCGGAGCCTTCCCAGCAAGGAACGGGCGCAAAGCCGGATACACCCTGGGCGCCAGTCCATCAAAGGGCCCAAACACAGACACACGAACACTCACACCTAGGGCCAATTTTCCCAGAAACCAATTAACCCACCGGTCTTTGGACTGTGGGAGGAAGCCCACATGAACAAGGGGAGATCATACAAACCCAACGCGATAGAGCGCCCCCGGTCCAGAATTGGCTTGTTTGCAGAGGGCTTGGATTTGAGGGGACATAGCTGATGAGTTTCAAACGATACATGTACATGAGTTATCTAGCGCGTTGTCAGGGGAATCCTGATCCTGGAGAGCTGCATGCCTGGGGGGTTTATGAAACACCTCACGTTTCCAAATGCCTGAGAGACATTGAGTGCAAAACAATATAACGAAAGAGTCAGACCATTCAGTAACTGACAGCCTCAGGGAATGAACACCCACACGTACACAAGACTGTATGTGAATCACCAGCGAGGAATTTATAGAACTAAAGACAGGTAGACTTCAGCAATAACAAAAGTGATTTAGATGAGTGGGGTAAAAGTAAATGTAGCTCAGTTTACTACCACATCTTGGACAAGTACTCCTGGATAAAGCAAGAACAGAATCATGAAGCTGCTGACAGGAGTAATAAAAAATGCCTGGACAAGCACAAGTAGGTGACGTGCTCCTCTATTCCATCTGCATTCTTTGTGTCTTTTGTTTAAATCTGTTAATTGGCTTTACAACAGAAAAACTACAGCTCTTGAGAAATAGCTTGAAAGCTACTTCTCTGTAGGTTAAGAGGTAGTTTTACATGGTGAACATATAAAGACTCTGATGCTAACTTGTTCGAATTATTTAATGACAGGATTTTTATGAGTGCTTTTCCAAATTTAAAACATTTCATGCCTTTGTGTTGGAAAGACATTGTTCCTAAAGAAACAACTGCAAAATAATCCCGTGATTATTGTCCATGATGATATGTTTGCTACCATCCATATGATAGCTGTTTTTTTTATCAAACCAAGCTCACCTTCCTGATTTCTCTCGCTCTATCAAAAGGGTCAGCAGTGTATGGGTACTGTTTAGACAACGTGACATTGGGATACCTGGAAGAAATGAGTTAATAAATAAGAAAAAAACGAACTGAATATGGTAGTCTAACTTAATGATTAATTTATTCTGAATTAAATAAAATTGTAACACAAAGAGAAAATTGAAACTGTTATTGCAAACACGATGCATGGTCCTCTATTTCTTACCCGTATCCAGTTCCCATTTTTAAGGGGTTAGTTAAGATGTTCTTTCCTGGAGACTTGTAGGGCTTCTTGGGTACCTGCAGTGCACTCATTGCTGCAACAGGGCCAGACAGTGTTCCATAGCAGCTGCCAAGTCCTGACCTTGAGCACACAGAATCAACACGATTTAAGCCAGAGTTGCCACAGTGACTACAGTACCTGAAGATCTGGGTCTCCCTGTGAACCTCTCATCTGTGTTTAACAGGCTCTCTGTGTTTAACAGCTGTTTAATCATGTGACCCAATTCACTTTCGTTGTCACTATGCCTTGAACTATTTGCTTTTAATCAGCTGCGAAAAACTTTGTTACAGCAATTTCCAGCAATAAAATGACTACAATGAAAGCCCAGTGTTTCTTTGGCTACCGCCTCGCAGGCAACAGCATGGGAAAAATGCTCCCGGCGTCAATAATCCAAAATCAACCGATAACCTGACAGACCCACTCCGACCAAGAATATCCAGACATCACGTGTTTGCATAAAACAAGACTTTAGCAGTGGGCTGCAGGGGGCGCAGTTACGATCACTGCTGCCCCCTGCTTGGGCCCTGGGTTCAGTCCTGGTCTGCGTGAAGTTTGTAGTGTATATTCCCTGCGCTCACGTGGGTTTCCTTCGGCTGCTCCCGTGTCCCTCACATATCCCAAAGATATGCTGGTACGTTAACTGGGTTTTAGGAAAACGAGTCCTGGTGTGAATGTGTGTGTCTTTGTGTGTGCCCTGCGATCGACTAGTGTCCTGCCCAGGCTGTGTCCTGCCTTGGGCCCATTGCTAGCTGGGATAGGCTCCGGCTCCAGTTAGAAATGGATGGGTGGATGGAAGTATTTATCAGTTCGGCAGGGCCTCGGTCTCTTCATAATAATCTCTAGTTCTGGCTCGAATGAAGCTTAGCTGTGCCCTCCAGAGTGTTTAACGGAAGACACCACACAGTGTCACAGCACACAGTTCACATACAATAGAATCAATTGCTCCCACGACCTGCGAGAACATCCCTTCAAGCACACAGCAATGGTACTTTTGTAGCTTCGAATTGAGTTTTTCAAATGGGGATATCAGGACCACAACCGAGCGCGTCATTTATACTGTCGGCAAACGCAGAACAACCACCCCCCCCATTGTGTACAGTTAGGAAAAGGGAAATCCTTACGGTTTCTTCTCTCCGTTGCTGGGAAGAAAGGCCTTTCCCACGTTCTTCTTGGACTGCTGCAGCCGGAACTGTCTGCGGAGCTTGATCGGGTCGCTGTAGGCCTCTTTCTCAAAGATTCGTTTGTACTGGGAGTCAAAATAGCCCACCTGTAGGGCAGACTTCACTTTGGTGCCGCCTGGCATCATCTGCTTGCTCTTCTGGGCAGATTCATTGAAGGGCCCTTGCACGCCAACAAGTAATAAGTAACTGATTAGAAGCGCTGACCGTAGGGTTTCAATTGATCTATGGTTGGAAATATATTAGTCTGCAAGAAATAAATGTTAATGACTACAGGAGGATTTACATACCTTTATATGAGAATGTACCTACTATATGAGAATTTACACTGTGTTATATTATACACTGATGGTTCTTACAAATAAAACGTGTGACATAAGAGCAACGTCAGGAGGCTGTATATCTGTACATGTTCCTCTGCATAGTCAAATACGTCCAGTTAAGAGCTAAGCTGGGAGTAGGTAGGTGATGAAATCCTTCAACTGGCCAGTACAGGACTTAGATCAGCTTACAATTACTGAAACATATATATTTTGTTTTTTTTTCTGACAAATTTCAATAACACAGACAAAAACCCACGATGGGAATAAAAAAGCAAACCCAACTGTTGTAGGGGGAGGTGTACTTGTCTCCAATGGAGATGTAGCCCATCTCCCGGAAGAGACCGATCCTCTCCATGTCTGACTTTCCTTCCTGAGGCATGGCTGGGGAAACAGACCGCTGTGGCGCAGAGCAACACTGAGGAGGGCTGTTCGGTCAGGAGGGTGTCTGTCTGGAAACAGAGCGAATGAGACCAGCTGCCGCAAAAAATCAGAGCTTTCACCGTTTCTCAAAAGGATTGCTTTCCTATTTGCAGAATTAAATGATTCCCTTTGCAATTCTGCAGCATGGATTTAGATCCATAATTTAAAGATTCTGCTTTGCCATATTTATTATTGTATTTGTATTTGTACATTGCTTGTACAGTATGTATTATTTGTATGTATTTCAACTCATCATTGATGTCTCATGTTTATGTTGCAGACAGGGAATTAAATTCATCCTTTTAATGTTAAGAACTTCACTATTATACATGAACTAAGTCAAAAAGAAGGACAAAACAGCATGGGTGCATTACCTAAAATAAAAAATAAGAAAACATTTTTTAAATACCTTGTTTAAAAATCAGGACCTATCACCACCTGCAAAGCGTCTGTAGTCTATGAAGATGAAATAATAATAGACTTTTAAGCAAGTACCTGGACCAAGTAGATTTGCAGTCAGAACCGAAGTGTGATTAAAAAACAATCAATTGCATGAGGTTTAATTAGGTATCATTATCATGTAACAATCCATACAATAAAGCAGTATTTATTTTCATTTGCTTGTTTTCAGAAACAAAGGCATAAAACATTCAAAACAGCAGGAAATCTCACCCGAGCGATTCAGTATGTTTTTTTAAGCTATTAAATGAAAGATACTCCGCTTTTTCTGCAGTACTTACCAGCCGCTCATGCCTGAAGCAGATTGAGTCTATGTTTCTTGCTGGCTTCAGATTTGTTTACACCGTTACCTTGGAGCCGGACGGGCCCACGAGAGTATGGCAGTCAAAAAGGATGGGGGTGAAAATGTATACCACGTAAAACATTAAGGAAATGACTAGAATATGTATAGACGATTTCTGAAGATTTAGTATTTAAATTTATAATTCTAGAGGTACTAGTGTATGTCACATTTACGTTTTCTGTATACAACAAAAACAATTCTTTATAATATAGTCTCTACCACGTCATACGCTTTGGTCTTGTCCAAAAGGTCAGCGGTCGCAGTGCATTGTGGGAGCTGTAGTCCTAACAATAAAAGAGTTGCTCGTAGCCTGCCGAGAAAATCTGTATCTTCTCAATTGCCACTCACAATCAGTCTGGGTTTCTCACAGCGCAACCTTTCAAGCCTGAAGGTAAACTATTCCTGAAATTTCTGGATATGCTTTGCGAGCCGAAACACTACAAATACCATGGGAGGCGTGTCTCTCCGGTACTGCGTAAAGGACACGTTGAGTAAGTGTGGGTACGTAGCATGCCCTCTGCTTAAGGGCTTTCATGTTCTCTGGGAAATAATATTGTATTTAGGAAAACAGAAATATCCGTTGCAGACTGGAAAATGGTATGTCGTTTTATTTCTTTAAAAAAAAACAACGTATCTGCATGCAGTCAATTTATTTAAACAGAGTGCCCACCCTTGATTTTGTGTTTCTAGTACAGCTGACGTATATATTACTGCTGTTCCGTGTTCAAAACAGTGCAGTTTGCTGCTGCCCCCGGTTTCAACGGACTGCCAGGTTGAAGCGTTTCTGTAGCTTCATATCTGAAGCTCAGCTGCTTCTCGATTTCACCCTTAATAGTATCAGCTATTTGGAAATTGTGCTTTGATAGTAGCTGCAGATAATCTTGGAGCACTGAGTAGGCAGTAACACAAGACCCCAGTTAATTTGCTTTCCGGTATGATTTGTGTCTGCACTAATGATATTTGTAAATTGTATTTCGAGGACTACTATGGCGGACGATATTTTAGATGGTCTGTCCTTGCTACGATGTGATAATAATTCATTTTAAATAATGAGCAGACTATAACTTACAAGATCTATTTCAGCCATGTTCAATATTTACAATCCCACATTATTCTGGTAAAACCATAACCGTCTGGCTTTAAACCTACAGCGACCGAAAGCCGTCTCCTCCGTTTTGAATGTTTTCACGGTCATTCCAGGTCGTTTCGGACCCCTGCGATGTCAACAGCATTATTTTTCGAGTCAGAGGAGGTCTGGACCTGAGCTGTCGGCTGGACAGTACCGAGGGTATGCATTAAATTGATGGAAAATATCGACGAGACGCTTGTGTTGGCTATTTTATTAAATGAAGTTTCCGCACAGAAATAATCCGATTTTGACCAAGCAGCCTACTGCGTCCTCCTCCTCCTTGTATCCAAGGATTTATAACTCAAATGTAAATTCACATCTTACCCTGAAGGTCCCTGGTCACAGTGCAACAGTGGTGTACTTGCCGTGAACAAGCCTCCGCGCTTGACGGGGGCTTTATAAAAGGGAGGTTATTTAAGGTGTCAAGCTTTTCCAGAGAAACAACATCTTACATACAGTACACGAGTCGCAAAGAAGTATCCTGTAATACAAGCACAATAGTTGCTTTTAAAGATGGAAGTGGCCTTTAATTATTTAGCTGGATGCAGTAAAGATCAAATCAATAATTAAAGAACCTGGTGAAGCGCAGCCCTTCAGTCCAGAGGACTCCCAGAACACAAGCGTCAGTCCCGGAGCCTCATCTTCTTCCGCGACTCGTAAGAGACGGGCTAAGTGCGGTGAATTGCCTCGATTTTTTTTAAAAAAAAAAAACAGAAGCCGTGCACCGAAAGGGGATTGCAGTAAGACATCCGTGGCACCTGTAGGGGAGCTATCCGAGAGGGCAGAGACTGCCGCTCTGTCGTGAGACTCGAAAGCTCGCCAGCGCAGCTTTTGGAAGAGGCCTCAGGAATGATCTGTTGCAAAGTGGTTCCTGTCCAAAGCAGGGTTTTTATACACCTGCTCATGGATATTGCCGTTTTGCATTCAATACTATGCATTGCCTTTCTGTTGTGGTGTGCTGTAGTTATCGTGTGATACAGGTGTAGTTAGGTAAAGAGGACTCATTGGGCCAGTGGTTTCTGTAGCAATGAGAGCACATGACTCTACCTCTGGGTGGTACACTGGTCCCTTGCAGGGATAAACCACCCAGCAGCGCGGGTCCCCACTCAATACAGCAGGGTGAGCTGGAGCCACTGGGGTATAGAACCTCACTCCAGGGACAAGGGCAGCGCCTGCGGTGAACTGAACCCCCAGACTGTCTCGCACACGGCTCACCCCCTGAACCGCACTGCCCCCGCCTGTACGAGCTGGAAGTGTAGTCAAAGCCTGGCGAGGTCTGCGGCAGAGCGCCTTGCAGGACTTCAGAATGCGGATGCGTGGAAAGAAATGCAAGTGAAATGAAAAAAAAAATGAATAATGAATGAAACTGTCCTCCCAGGTTTTCCTTTCATTGCTTTTCCATCCCACCCATTGCACGGCCGGCCCCTGTGTCGTTTTCAGAGTCCCAGGTGAGGGAGGCCCTGGCCAGAGCCTTTGAGCGCCTGCGTGCCGAGCTGACCTCCCCGTCCCTGGTCTTGGGGGTCTGTAACAGCTCCGTTTACATCTGGCCCAACAGCAAGCTCCGCATGACGCCGGCTGAGGTGACTGCGGACACGGCCTGCGGGGACCTCCAGCAGCTTGTCCAGTGGGTGCCACCGTCTTCTCTTCAAACTGTTGCACGAAAACACCGTCGGCGTGTTTCAATACAGATTGGCCCGTTTTTACTTCCTGTTGCAGTTGAACTTGGTGGAATACTGCTAGGTGGAAATTGTGCCTCTGGGGGGAAAAAAGAAGTTCCCTTCTGAAATGTGCTGAAATGCACAGGACGTCCGTTTAAAACGTGACGCGAGAAATCGTATGGTACAGGAACAAAAATATTTCTCCCATCATCGGATTGATTTGTTAATGACGTTTGAGTGGGCAGCTGCGTCGGCGTGCGCAGGCTGCCAAGGAACAGGTGAAGGTTTTTTCCCACGATGAAAAGAAAAGAGACAACGTTTCGGCTGTGGAGCATGAAATGAACCTTCACCTGTCTGTTTGTTCATGTTTAATCGCTGTGAAACAGGCTGAAATGGACTGTTAAAGGTTTTTGATTCATGTACGCTTATAGCCAGTTTTCTAGGATTTGGGGTCATTTTTCAGTTCATCTAAAGTGTATTTAATCATATTTTTAAAGCTGCTTTTTGTTTTAAAAATTTTTACGGCGATTTCCTTCTAGGGCCAATGACAGCGATGCTGCCAAGAGACCAGGGAAAAAGAAAGACAAGAGAAACTCAGCTGCTGTAAGTTTCAATTCTTCCTTCTGTGCTGGGGGAAACAGTATTGCCACTACGGATACTGAGAATTGCATTCGGTTCCTGTCGTTTGCTGTAAGCAGAGCTCACTTTCCTGTTGCCTTCAAGAGCCGGAAACGTTTTACGCGCTCTTTGGTGCTGCCCTCCGCAGAGCGTCGTGAAGGTGCAGCTGCTGGCGGAGGCGACCGGGCCGGCCCGCTCTGCGGCGCCGCTGCTCCTGAGGGCCGGCAGGAAGCACCACTGGCTCCACGCCACGCTGCCTGTGGACGCCGCGGTGTCCGCGCACCCGCAGGAGACGGTTGGAGGGTACGTTACCCAGCACCTGTCTTCTCGTGCCCCGAAATCTCAACGCGGGAAAGAGCGAGGGTTTTTGTGAAGCGTCTTTTTTGTGTAGCTCAAGTACAGTAGGTCGGCGAAGGGACAGCCAGCAACGTGCTGCCCAGAGTGATCACAACAATTAAAAGGCCAAACTGCGATGGCAAGCGTTCTGAACTGATATTAATTGTTTTAATTATCCATTTAGGTAATTAGAGTTCCTAAGAGCCCCCCCTGACCCCCCCCCCCTGTGAAAGCTTTCAGAACAGCCACACGCCTGCGCCGTTTCGCTCATGGGACTTCTTGTGCTGTTGTGCAGTGTGGCAGGCCGCCTGGTGGGGGCGCTGTGCTCCCAGCTGTCGGACATGGAGAAGTCGGCTCTGCAGTACGTGAAGGGGACGTCCCTGCGGGTCCCCCAGCCCTTCCACTTCCTGCTGCCGGAGCCTGCGGGGCTCGTCACGGTTGTGTATCCGGCAGGGGTACCTGACAGCCGACTGGACACGGTTCGGCAGGCAAGTCCCGTCCGATTCCCGCGGAGATGGAGCCGCGGAGAAAGACATTGTCACCCCTGTTAAAATAAGGAGCCTTATTTTATACGCTTTACAGTAAGAAAGCAATGCACACTATGAGACGAGACAGCATAATTACATCATTACAGTAAGGGAATAGAGTGGGAAAGCACAGGGGCAGATACAGAACCAGATAGGTAAGAAAAAAGGTATTGAGTCTTGATTTGAAGGGAAGGTGACTGATTTCCCTGGGGAGAGAGTTTCAGAGCTCTGGGGCGCAGCAGGGCAAGGCCCTGTCACCCACAGAGTGTAGACGGGCCTGAGGGACAGACAGGGGACCAGAATTAGATGAACGAAGGTTGCACGGTGGGCAGTAAGATGATACGTCCTAAAAATGTTCAGCCATCAGTTTTGACTTTTTTTTAGGGTTATTAAAGGGACAACAGATTTACTACAAAGAAGTTATAAGGAAGAATAAAACAGATCGTTGAACTTTTCAGTTGAAAAGTTCTTTTTTCTTTTTGGTGGTGTGGTTTGGCCAATATGTGTCGTGAGTTGGGGCTGTGCAGAATAGTGGTTCGAGGTTGAGATCTTCGAGGTGGGTGAGGAACGGACCCTCGGGGTCGCTGCTGTTGTACCCTTCAGCAAGTTACTCATCTCTCGGGACCGCCCAGCAGTGCCAGTGCTAATCCTGATGATGACGAATCAAGGATGATCTTTGGCCTGGAGAGCCGCTAGGCAGGAGTGTGGTCTTCACCTACCTTTTTCTTTGTTGTGTTGCTCGAACAGGAGTTGCACGCCAAGTTTCAGCTCCCACTGGACAGACCCTACCTGAGAAGGGCCAATGCCTATCACTTTCCCGACGAGCCTTACAAAGACGGCTACCTCAGGAATCCCCATTTATCCCTGCCTCCGCCCAGCCTGGAAGACAGTAAGGTCTGTGGTGTAAGGTGTAGAGGGCTGTGCAAATGTGTGCACAATTATGGGAGCTGAAAATCACTTCTTGGCTTTTGGAGTTCCTGTTTCTGTAAATATTTAGTTGATTAAAGGATCAGTGTGTTTTGATCCACTTTTAATTAGAACTTTCATCTGCACTTTCCTCTTTCCGCGCTTCTTGAGAACGCTTCTTGGCCCTCATTGTCAAGCAGGATATCGCGGAGGCCATCGTTGTTCCGCACTGGCACATTTAGTAAACAATAAATTAGCTGTTGTAAGGCAGGTTGTAAAACGAAGTAGATACATAGTGAATGAATGAATGAAATTTGAGTAACATCTTTCTCAGTGGTGTACTGCAGGGGACCATTTAAGGTCCACTGCTCTTCTTGATCTTTGGGATATAAAATCCAACTGGGTATAGGGAAGCATGCCTTTCCACACGGAGATCTATCTGGGTGTCTGGAACAGGTTTCCCAGAACATTTCCCAGAGATGCTAAAGGAGAATGATGCTTCCACATGGCCCCTCTTTTGTAGCCATTCTTAAGTTCTGATGGGTGATCCCAAGCTACACACAAGAAAAGCATTACAGAAGGTCGAAAGCATTTTCATTAGAATTCTAGAAGTCTAGGTCAACACTGTACTTTAAGTAATGAATGAAACTAAATATCTGTGCACCGTGGGTGATTCTTTACTGTAAAAGCAAGAAGGATCAGATTTAACATGCTTACTAACACTGAGCTGATGCTACAGCTGTTGAATATACCTGACTGATTCTTTAACAGTCACTGTTTACAGTAGATGTGCCTATAAAAGGTCATTGGTGTTTTTATATTAGTTATTATTATTATTGTTATTATTATTAATAAATATTTTACACATTTGAGCTCTTAGGTTGCCACACTAAATTTAAAGAGTGTTTCCACTCTGCAACACACACTGACTGAGCCCATCGTGTCTCCTCCTCCTCTGCGGGCAGCTCTATCTGGTCCAGGGGGTGTACAGCTATCACCACTACATGCAGGACCGCGTGGACGACAGTGGCTGGGGCTGTGCGTACCGCTCCCTGCAGACCATCTGCTCCTGGTTTCAGCAGCAGGCCTACACGGACAAGGGCGTGCCCACCCACAGAGAGATCCAGCAGGTATGAGGTCGGCGCAGGCCAGCAGAGCACAGCGGCGAGAACCGGGGGCCCTGTATTCTGGGCGCGGATGATCTCGTCAGTGTGTGAGTGTAGTGGATGCACTGCACTTTCACAGTAGTGCTGTAACCTGCCCAGCACTTCCAGTTAAAAACACTTTTAGTGTGTGTGCCCGGCGCAAAGTTTTAAAACCGCAAATTTATCATGATAAGAGAGCTCTAAAGGGGAAGTGGTTTTACTTTATATCATCAGAACACGATAGCACATGGATGCCAAAGCCATCGAAGGACTGGCTTCGCTTAAGGAATCATTTTGAAGTTGCAGTTGTTTGTAGGAGAGGGCTATCCTGAAGAGGTGGTTGACATAGCTCTTTAGAGTTGTGTGTCGTTATGTTCCTTATGCAAGTTTTTAGAGTGAAATAAAATATGTAGCAGTGAGTGCTTTTTTTATCAGATTTCCTAAGCTTTTCGCTTAAGTGAATTCAGCCTTAGTTTGAGCCAAATGAAATTAAGCTATACAGCCTTGACATCTTTCTGTATGTGTATCGAGATCATTTTACTGTATTCCGTAGTGCACAGTAGCAGTATAGTCTTACCAAAATTTGTAAAACAGCAGGCAAATATTAAAATCTTGGAGCGTTTAGATTAAATGGTTTAGAGCAAAAGTTGTAAATAACAGAGTAGAGTTTGCGATTTTGTTGGAAAATAATTACATATCAGTGATTTAAAGTCCACCTCTTGTTTCAGGATAGCTGTCTGAAGTCTTGGTATACACTACACAGACACAGCCTGCACTACAAAACTGAAATAATGTCAACTTGTCTCATGCAGGCTCTGGTAGACGTTGGGGACAAACCTGCTGCCTTTGTTGGGTCGCGGCAGTGGATCGGGTCCATTGAAGTCCAAGCCGTATTATCTCACCTGCTGGGGATCAGCTCTAAAATACTCTTTGTGAGGTACAGTGTGTCTTCGTGCAGAGCATGTCGTGTGAAAACACGTGATCGCTTGTCTAAAGTGGGAAATGTGTTAAATTTTTAGATTAGATTCAGGATTACATTTTCCGAGATGGAACACCTTGGATCTAGTTTATTTTGTTTCCACAATAGGAACGTTAAAGGATGGAATAGAATCTTTTAGAAAAATAAAATCTCAGTATGTAGGTTTCCTGTATTTTGTCGTTGTTGTCCCAGCTGTAACACGTAAAGCTCCTTTATTCCCCGCTGATGTACATGAATCTAATTCGAAATTGTTTCCCCAAAGCCAAGGGTCTGAATTGGCATCAAAAGGAAGAGAACTGGCAAATCACTTCAGTACGGAAGGGGCGCCTGTCATGATTGGTGAGTCAAATTGCTAAGAAAGCCAGTAATTAGAAAAAAACCCACCATTGATCCACTGAAAACAAGATTTTCGTTTTGGTGATTTTTTCTATGTGTTCTTTTTCCTGGAGCTTT